TACACTGGTCCCTTCTGCGACGGCTTCGCAGCCGTCAGCTCCACCTGGTCGTGGCGAGGCTTCTGACCGAGGTAGTTCGAGACCTTGAACAGCTCCTCCTCGTCCTCCGAGCTGTCCCGCCCGTATTTGATTCCCCCGCGGATGATGGAGAAGATGCCCACAAGCGGCTGCACAGACGCCAAGAGCACCAAGCTTGCCGCGAGGCGGACCCATCCCTGCCGGCGCGGGGTCCGGGCCAGGTCGAGAGCGGTCTGAACCTCTCTCAAATATGGAATTGTCGAGAACATAACTTGCCGCTGAGGCAGAATCGCTCGCCTGACTCAAATGGCTGCAGCACCGAAATTCCTCGTCTTGATGTCCATGAGCCCCATCCGGGACCTTCCAACCTTCGCTTCTGAACTCTACCACCGAGACTGCCACATGCCCCGTGTCGACCTCCCTCATGGGTACTTCAGAGCCCGCCCTCCTAAGGACTAGCTTCATTTCGTCCAGGTCTACCAGGGCTTTGAACTTCTTAAGAGTCTTTACTGGCAGCAGCATTGGAACATTCCCCTCAACGACGGTGAGCTCCAGAAGCCCATGAGCACCTCCGATCCCGAACGGCGTGACCACGACTCCTATCGTTTGAGCTTTTCCACCTACACCTTGAGCTCGGGCTGGCTTGTTGACCCACTTGAACTTTAGTCCCCGTTCCCGTAGAGCACTAGCGAGTTGCTGAAGAGCTGCAGTTCCAATCAGGCCCGATTTGGCCGCGGTGTCCACCAGTGCCTCTCCGTCCCCAAGAGATAGCCCACACCACGGTTCTGCATCCCCATCCTCAGCTTCTCGTGCATTCCGAGACTCCCGGCCCTGCTGAGGACCTCGCTCGAACTTCCTCTGAACCCGAGACAGGCACCCAAGATCCACGTCACCTTCACTTCCAGGAACTCCCAGCGCGTATACCAGCTCTGGCCGGCCTCCACGAAGGTCCCGAACTTGGGCCCCATGAGGCTTGCTGGAGGCTGCAGAGTCTCGATGATGATGGATGTGGTGCCTGTACTTAGACTCACACTCGAGGCATTCTCCCTCGCTGTCCAGGCCTGCATTCTCGCAAGCCGTCGTCGCGCCGACGAAAAAGCCGGTCTTATGCTTCCCCGCGTTGGCTGCCCCTCTGGCGTCAGGCGGGTTCGTGCACTCCTTTGCCCAGTGGCCAACCTGGCCACACCTCGCACACTTCGTGCGCAGCTTGATCACGTCGATGTGCACCTTGACCCTGCGCCCCTGGCCGTCCTTGTACTTCGTGCTGGCGCCGAAGCGCGCCACTGGCGGCGAAGGATAACCTCCGCCCTTGTCCTTCCCGCTGCCCTTGCCACCTTTGTGGAACCCACGACGGTTCTTCTCATCTCGCAGAGAGGCCCGCACCGCCTGGTATGAGGCCAGCGCCGTCGTGACGTCGGCCTCCTCGTGCACCTCCCACAGGTCATCCTCGAAGACGTACACGTACTCCTCGTCATCTGGGTCGTCGTCCTCATTCATCGTCGGGAAGCTCTCGGACTCGCCCACTTCGGTGTTCTCGTCTTCGCCGAAGAACTGCCGATCTCCACGATCTGTGGTTACTTTGTCCAAGCGTCGCAGCGCCTTGATCACCTCGTCCTCTCTGAAGCTGCCAGCCGTCCACGTCTTTATCATGTCCTCGCCTTTGTCGCCGAGCTTCGCGTGCCTCATCATGATGTAGCCCCGGGCTTCTGCTGGCAACTGAACTCCTTCACGCTTCAGCTCATTGAACCTTGCCACGGCAGCGAGAGTATACTCCAGCATTGACTGCCCTTTCTCCCGCTGCGATGTGTACACTGCCTTCTCGAAGGCCCTCGGCATCGTCTGCTCTAGGTACGGCTCGTACGCGTCGTCGAGGACCTGCACGATGCGCTCAAGGCCTCCTTCGCCGATGATCTCGTCGACCTCCAGGTCGGCGATCGCTTCTTTCGCACTGCCGCTTAGCTGCCGAGACAGCTTGGCGCCCCATTTCACCTTCGGGACGTCCGTCGTGGTACTCCACAGCTTCAGCTCCTTCTTCCACTGCTTGTAGGTGTTCTCCGGCTTGTTGCCGTCATATGCGGGCGGCGGATCCCTGTCTCTGCCGCCTCTCCGACCTTCCTCTTCTTCGTCCTGTTCTCCTCCAGGCATCTCGACTGGCTCGCCGCAGTAGTCCCGCTCGTCACCACCGTCCAGCACGATGACCCACTGGATGCAGGGCCAGGAAGCCGGTGGATCTCACCGGCTCCGCTACCACTGTGAGTGGCAACAATGATGCTCTCTGCTCTTTCACGTTGCCACGCGCCTCTCTCGATCACGTCACGTGTCGGCACTGGCGCAGCACTGTATAACAGACGCTCCAAGTGAGCGTCGGTAGGTGGGAAGGAAGGGAAGATACTGGTATGTCTGGTGTTGGGAAAAGAGAGGGGAAACGGGGTAAGCCAGCCCGAGCAGGATATGGCTGCAGCGGGGCGGGAAAGTGAACAGATCACTGGGGCTGAAGGGAAGCGCTAAGGCATAGGATGCACTATGCAAACACATAGGTAGATCGACCCGCGGCCCCCATGGGCAAATTCGGATGCTGCCCCCCACTTCCGATGTCGGCACACCCATCACGCGGATTGTGATCCATTGGGCGCTCAACATACGGTCTCAGGTGGCACGTTCGCGCGAGGGAGGCTCCGATCGTGTCTTGACTCCCCTCGCGCGGATCCTTCCCCGCAAGGCTGTCCACCTGCGGCCAATGGACAGCTTCAATTGCCGCCCCCCCGCCGATGTCGGCACACCCCTCACACGGATTGTGCCCCTCACAATGGGCTCCATCTGTGGCCTCGGTGGGCAGGGCCGTGTGGGGGCCTCCGCTCGGTTCGGCACCCCTTCTCACGCGGATCGAGCCCCACAGAGATTTCACCGCCCCGTGTACACGAAGACAGGGCCACGCCCTGCGCTACTTTTCTTGTGTCAGCGGCGACGCGGGGCACAAAGCGCTATGTAGCAACAGCCGGGCCGAGGACGGGCTGATCACGCACGTGTACGGATGTAGTGGACGAAGAGCGGCCGCGGAGTTATGCCTTGGATGAGGTGGAGGGGGAGGGGGAGGGGGGAGGAGAGGACGAGGGGGAGGAGGAGGAGGAGGAGGAGGAGGAGGAGGAGGAGGAGGAGGAGGAGGAGGAGGAGGAGGAGGGAGGAGGAGGAGGAAGAGGAGGAAGATGCCCTTCGCCAAGCTAACTTATCCACGGGACCCGGACGCCAAGGCTCGAGCGCGTCGATCCTCAGAGACCGCTCGTGGCACCGCGCGCAGGGCCGGGGCGCGGCCTGCGAGGGCAGCCTCTCGGCTGAGCAGGGGAGGGGGCGAAGCAGGAGGGAGGGAGGAAGGCAGAGAAAGAACGAGGGAGGGAGGGAGGGGGGGAGAGGATGGGGGCGGAACGATCGAGGAAGGGAGAGGAGGAGGAGGAGGAGGAGGAGGAGGAGGAGGAGGAGGAGGAGGAGGAGGAGGAGGAGGAGGAGGAGGAGGAGGAGGAGGAGAGGAGGAGGAGGAGGAGGAGGAGGAGGAGGAGGAGGAGGAGGAGGAGGAGGAGGAGGAGGAGGAGGAGGAGGAGGAGGCAGAGGAGGATAAAGAGTAAAGGGGAAGGGGAAAGTGATGCTGCTGCTGCTGATGATGCTGATGATGATGATGATGATGATGATGATGATGATGATGATGATGATGATGATGGGAAGGAGGAGGAGGAGGAGGAGGAGGAGGATGAGGAGGAGGGGAGGACGGGAGGTTGAGAAGGAGGCATACCATAATACACTCCAAATGCGTCAACGATGCTGCAATCGACCCTCTGGTCCTGAATCCCCTCCTCACACGTCCCTACAAGTTTTCCATTCCACTTGAGGAAACGCCCCAATGACATTCGAGCATCCTAAAAGGCTGGTGTTCAAGCGAGAACCCCGTTGTGAAGCCACCTTGCATCTTTCTCGCGGCGAACAAGGAACGCGTAACCGTCGGACCATAAAGCTCAACTAGGTGTCCAACGGGAACCCCATTTTGAAGAAGGACCGCCCCCAATCCTTATACCTACGCCACGAATTCCACCTCTGGTCATCCAATTAAAAACTCTTTTCAACCATATTTTGAAAGGGGGCCTCCATCCGTCATTTCAGCTGCGAAGCAGGTTCAGGCTTCTGGTCTTGCCGCTTGCGGAAGTCTTAAGCGAGAACTCCAATGTTGAACTAGAGCCACGCTCCGCCCTTTCAAGGGTTGCAAGCTTTTTAAGCACATGTGCGCGGCGCTACGGTGACAATTCCTTAAACACCGCCCTCCATCTTGTAACCGCTGCACAACTCAAAAACGAAGATGCGCGACGCCAACGCCTGAGGCTCATGTCGAACACGTGTCGTCCTTCGCAATTGTAGCTCTTGCAAGCTTGGAAAACGAACGTGCGCGGCGCTCAGGCGAGAGCCCCATGTTGCAAAGGATCCCCCATCCATCCTTGCAGCTGCTGCAAGCTTTTCCGACGAAATTGCGCTGCGCCCAAGCGAGACGACCATTTTGGAAACGCCCGTCCATCTGTGTAGCTGTTGCGTCTTTTAAATCATGTGCGCGGCGACAGCGCGAAAACCACATTTTTAAACATCTCCCTTTCACCTTCGTACCTGTTGGAAATTTCTGGCGGCAAAGTTTCAAGAAAACGGTCCGTCGTACTACTTGCTCCCGACTTTTCTTGTGGTGCGACAGGGAGGAGCCATCCACAGGGAGAAAGGGGCGGAGGAGGTAGAGGAGGAGGTGCATGGAGGAGAAAGGAAGAGAAGCGTGGCGGACTGGGAGCAAGAGCGGGAGGACGTGCGGACGAGTGGAGGGGAGAGACATGAGGGACATGTGGGGTGGAGCGCGCGGACGGGGCCGGGGGGGACGGGGGAGGGAGCCAGACCAGGACGGAAGGGCGAGGGCCCAGGAGGCGAGCCGACAGGCCGGTTTCCGCCGCGCGGGCCCAGGGCGCCTTCCTTGCGGGCGCCCTCCTCCTCTTCTTCCTCCGCCTCTCCGCGGGGGGCCCCGCGGCAGCCGCGGCCTCCTCCTGGATCGCGGCTTCTTTTTCGCGAGGCGGGGGGGGTGGGGGGCGGAGGTGTGGCGGGGCGTCCTCGCGGGAGGAGGCGCTTGCCCCGCCACCTCCTCCTTCGCCGCCTCCTCCTTCGGCCACTATTTCCTCCTCGCTCCCTCCTTCCTCCACACCTCTTCCTTGCGAGTGGCTCCTTCTTGCCGCACCCCCAAGCGTGTCGGTGGGGCGGGCCGGGCGTTGCGCCTGAGACTTCCTCACAACTTGTGAGAAGCTGGAAGTTTTGCAATACTTTCGCTGATTGAAATGGGGGTCGCTCTCAACATAAAGCTCTCGCCGTAACACCGCGCACATTCGTCTGAACATCTTGCATCAGTTTAGCGGAAGGCGGGCGGCTCCCTATCAAAATGTGGCTCTCGCCTTAGCGCATCGCATATTCGTTTTAAAAGATCGCAGCAGTTTCTAGGATGGAGGGCGGGTGGCTTTCAGCATGATGCACTTGCTTCAACACCGAGCGCGTTGGTCTTGACAGTTTGCAGCAATTTCGCGTATGGAGGGTGAGAGATGGGTTGCCAAATGTGGCTCTTGCTTCAGCACCGCGCACATTCTTCACAACATCTGTAGTAACTCCACGCATGCAGGCCAATTCTTTTTCAAACTGTGGTTATAGCCTTAGCGCCGGGCGGACTCGTTTTGAATATTGGCAGTAGTTCCGCGGATGGACGGTGGTTGCTTTTCAAAACGTTTCCCTCGCCAGCTCCGTGCGCATTCGCCTCACAAAAATTAAAACACTTGCGCTGATGGATGGGGGCGTTTTCAAAATGGTGCTCTCGCTTGAGCGCCGCGCGCATTCGTTCTCAGCATTTGCAACTCTTCCGCGCGTGGACGGCGGTTTCTTTTCAAACTGTGGCTCTCGACTCCGCGCCAAGCAGAGTAGTCGTATACGTCTGCAGAGATTCCACGCATGGAGGGCAGCTCCAATTCAAAATGGTGCTTTCGCCTTAGAGCCGCGCGCATTCGTCTGACAAAATTGCAAAACGTCTTAAAATAAAGGTAGAGGGCAGGCTGCAACGTGTAGCAGGATGGAGGGCTGCTCTTTTTTAAAGCGGAATTGTCGCCTGACAATGGAGGCGGTCCGTTTTCGAAATGGATGTCTTTGGACACCTCGTGGAACTGTATGATCTGCTGACTCATTTTCTGACCAGGGCCGTTGCCAAAATGGCGGGCCCAATTGTGCTGGTATTTCAAGCGGGGCTCTTCGTGTCGTGCAGAGGAAGACTTGGAAGTGGCGAATGCGGAGGGGACTCTTCCCCTCTCCCCTCCCCGCTCGCTTCGGCCCCGACCCATGGAGCCCTCCTGGCGTGCCGCGGGACGCCCCCCCCGCCGCACGGCTGGCGGGCGCAGCGGCGTGGACGGCGCGGCGAATCGAGCCAGGCGAACCGAGCCAGACGAACCGAGGAGGAGGCGGAGGAGGCGGAGGCGGAGGCGGAGGAGGAGGAGGAGGAGGAGGAGGAGGAGGAGGAGGAGGAGGAGGAGTAGGAGGAGGCGGAAGAGGAGGAGGAGGAGGAGGAGGAGGCGGAGGAGGAGGAGGAGGAGGAGGAGGCGAATCGAGCCAGGCGAGTCGAGCTGGGCGAAATCGATACTCGGGCGAAGCAAGCCTGCGCGGGGGCTGTGGCCTCCCGTGTGGGGGAGCACCCCTCCCTGGGAGAAGCTTTCCCCTTCGATCCCTTTCCTCCTCCTCCTCCTCCTCCTCCTCCTCCTCCTCCCTCTCCTCCTCCTCCTCCTCCTGCCTCCCAGCCTTCCCCTTCGATCCCTTCGATCCCCTTCCCCCTTCGATCCCTTGCTTCCCAGCCTTCCCCTCCCCGGGAGGAGCTTTCCCCTTCGATCCCTTCGATCCCCTTTCCCCTTCGATCCCTTGCCTCCCAGACGCCTCGTGCTCTCCCTTCAAGGTCGGCGGCACCGGCCGAAAGACCTTCAAAATATGGGTTCGTTTTGGATGCGCCCGTTGATGTTGCCACTTGTTGCAACTGGGTTTGGCAATCTTTGGGTAATCCATCCGACGGCCGAAAGCAATGCGCCACAAGACCGGGCAACCCGTCGGTTCGGCCCTGTGGTGCCTCCCTCAGTCCGTGCGCACGGCATCCGTGCCAAGTTCGCCCCAGAGCCTCTGCACACCTCTGAAGCTGAAGCCTCCGGGCACATCGGACAACTTCCGAAGACCTCCCTGGAGTCCCCTGCTCCTGCCTGCAGCCGGAGGCACCTCGCGAAGCCTGTGACCTGTTGGTCTGCAATGCTGGCGGTCGCAGGCGCGTCTGTAAGCCGACGGGGCGCGTCGCGCCAAAGCACGCTGATCAGGGCGGGTGGAGCGGAACGGGGGCGGCCGCGGAGACGGGGAGAGGGGGGGAGGCCCAAACCGCAGAGCGCCGGCGGGGAGGGGAGGCCCCCATCGCAGAGAGAGAGAGAGAGAGAGAGAGAAAGAGAGAGAGAGAGAGTCGGCGAAGCCTGAGACACGAAAGCCCCCCCGCGATCATCCATCCTCGCTCCTCGATCGATCCTCGATCGATCCTCGATCGATCCTCGATCCCCGGCCGCGCCTCGCCCTCCTGGGCCGCCTGGGCGGTCTCCGCAGCTTCGCCGCCTGCGCGCGAAGAGGGCGGGCGGCTGGCGGCGCGCCCTCGCAGAGGCGAGTGCGCTCGGAGAGCGGCGGCGCGTGGAGCCGGCCCCCCCAGGGCGACGCAGCACGAGGGCGGCGAGGGAAACGAGGGGGCGAGGCGGGAGGAGGGAGGAGGAGGAGAGAGGAGGGAGGAGGGAGGGAGGGAGGAGGAGGGAGGAGGGAGGGGAGGGAGGAGGGAGGAGGAGGGAGGGAGGGAGGGAGGCGGGAGGAGCGAGGCGGGAGGAGCGGAGGAGCGAGGCGGGAGGAGCGGGAGAGGAGGGAGGAGGGAGGCCTGGAGGGGGGAGGAGGAACGAGGGAGCGAGCGAGGAGCGAGCAAGAGAGGAGGGCGGGGCAGGGCTCCAAGGGCCGCCTGGTGCGCCCTCTGCGCGGGCCCGCCGCCTCGCGCGAGGTGGAGACCAGGGCGGCGCACGCCCGGGAGGGGGGCGGCAGCGGAGAGGGGGCGCGGGGCGGGGGGGGGGCTCCGACACCTCCCTCCTCCCTCCTCCCTCCTCCTCGTCCTCTCCTCTCCCCCTCCCTCCTCCCTCCTCCTCCTCCTCTCCTCCTCCTCCTCCCCTCCTCCTCCTCCTCCTCCTCACTCCTCCTCCTCACTCCTCCTCCTCCTCCTCCTCCTCCTCCTCCTCCTCCTCGGGGGGGTCTCTCGAGATCGGGCGCGCATCCAGACCCCCTCGCGTCGTGAAAAAATCGCGACGGGAGGTTTTTCGCCATTTTCGGCTTCTGGGGGCCCTTGCCGGGCCCCGGGGCCGTCGCAAAACGGCCCAGGACGAAACACTGGTCCCAGGGGAGGGGTCCAGACCTCTGGGGGTCGACGTTGTAACAAAAATCACGACGTCGGGGGTCTGGCATTGACATTTCTCAGGGATCCGTGGATCTGGCGCGTGGGCGCCACGACCCACGGATCGGGGAGCGCAACCGCCGAAACGAGGCGCGAGTGCCGCCCGATTTGGAAACGGAGCGCGCCGATCTGGTGATCCGTACAAAATCCACCCACCCTCGATCCATGCCTGCGTCACCTCGACGGGAGGTAGGCAGAGGAGGTACCCGAGGCTGAGAAAGGGGGATGGAGGAGAACGGCGTTTTTCGAAGAGTTGGCAAGATCGCTTGTCATGCGAGCCCTCCGCAAGCTCGATGCCACGACCTCGCATTTTATTACGCAGCCGATAAAGGGACGGGCATTTGCAGACAGGCCTCTCGTCGGTGGCACACTTCGGGGGAAGAGCAGTTAAGCCGAGCGAAATCTGGGCAGGCCAGGCCATCTGACGCTCGCGCCAAGCGTAGAGGGAAATAAGCTCCTCGAGCGCCGACGCTGGCCAGTCTAAGATCACTCGAGGCTGCCACCCGTCGACTCCGACAGCAGTCCCAGCGGAAAAACAACTACAGGCCTGCAAATCTTTGACTTCAAGAGGGGAGAGGCCCTCCAACGTTTCCATAGCAACCACGCGGAGGTCAGACACGGCATCGCCCAATCTCAACCTCTCCTCGTTGGACACCCCCCCAAAGTGGCCCCCAGTACTGGGCTCGAAACTCGATGGTTTCGGGGAGCTGCAAAAACTCACGCGGGGTGGCCTTGATCGGCCAGTTCTTGAGGCCCTTCCTGGCCTCCTCCTCGAGATCGAAAAGATTAGACTCGGTGGCCAGATCTTCCCACCATGAGGGAGGCCGATCAATGGGCAGCACGCTGGAGAAGTTTGCAGTGTGGGACGCCGAGTCCACCGCCGACTTCTGCGCGCGCAACTCGGTGGATTTGGCGCGCCTCAGGCCTGTCCGCAACCCGGGCAGCTTGGCGGACACATTGGACCAGAAGGCCAGCGCGGGATTCCGAGGCGCAGTGCCCAACTCCCCTCGATGTGCTATGCTAGGAGTACGCAGCTCCACGTAATCCCCTCCCCCTCCCCCTCCCCATGCTTGTCACTCCCTTCGGTGGCGGCAGCTGCGCGCGACGAAAAGGTCGACTCAGTGGCACGGGGGCCAGAGGGCATGCTGTACATTGACCTGCGGATCGAGGTGCTCGGCCGCGTGCGGTATCAACGGTGAGGGGGGGGGCCGCGAGCGGAACCTGGGAGAGGAGGAGGAGGAGGAGGAGGAGGAGGAGGAGGAGGAGGAGGAGGAGGAGGAGGAGGAGGAGGAGGAGGAGGGGGAGGAGAAGGAGGAGGAGGAGGAGGAGGAGGAGGAGTGCTCCAGCCGAACAGGGCGCGGCTCGGTCTCCAACGCATCGCCATTCTCATCGCCTTGAGAAGATGCAGGGCCCAAGGGGCGGTCGGGCCCCGGGCGCCGCGGAATATTTCTTGGGGACGGACCCGCTCGCAAAGTTTCTGGACCAACGCCCGATGCTTCACCTTAGAGGGAAAAGAGCTATCCTGAGCCAGGCCCATCCTGAGCCCAGGATCGGTGCATACGCCCTCCTGCCTTGGCCAGGAAGGCATATGCACCGATCCTGGGTCAAGGATGGGCCTCGCCAGGATCGGTGCATGTGCATAGTTCTCTTCGCCCGACACCTGGACGTCCAAACTCCGATGCGTTTTGAAACGGTGACGGCTCAAAGATGCTGACCTGGACGAACGGGGCAAGCTCTTGCGAGACCAACGCACAGTCGACGAGTGAGCCCGACCCCTGCGCACAGGTAAGCCAAGCTCCAACAGGCGTCATTACTCGGGAATGCAACGACTGCGGATATCCAGGTAACAAAAAGGTAGCAGCCTCAATGTTGAAGCTCCTAATGAGCATCGAGGGACCCCTCAAGGCTTACACAAACGCGACAAAACCCAGCATTTTGACCACGTTATCTCCCGCGGCCCCAAGACACGAAACAACGTAGCAAACGCCGATGGCCATCGCAGCCTTCTCAGTTTCGACCCGGACAGATGTCACGAAGCTCCTTATCTTGCGCCAGAAATATCTTAAGCAAATTTGCTCTTGCGCACGACCATTCCCGCGCCCCGACGAAGATCCCCCCTCCTCTCCCGTCGGAGTGCCAGCTTGGAAGTGCGGGCGCCAGCCCATGGCTGCGCACTCCCTCTTGGCCGTGGGGGGCGCATGCTCATAGAACTTTTGCTCACAAAGCAGGAAGGCATCGACACACAAGCGGACCTCAGAGGTGAAATCCTTGGCGACCTTCGAGCATGACGTGATGTTGCAGAACGCCAGCTTAATGCTGTCGGACTACTTCGACACTGCGCCCACCTGCTAGATATTTACTCTGTCAAGCACGCTGCCCTCCAGCAAAGACCGACGCCGCCTGCTCGAGGATCTCCTTGAACCGGGCGCTGATCTGCTCCTTGCCACTACGCATACGCTTGTGGGACTTGGCCTTGGTGCGCTTGACTAAGAGCTCCTCCAGCCGCTCATGCTCCTCATTAGACCGCACCTGCTCTTGACCACGCTTGCGGAATGACCGACGTTCTTCATCACCACCGTCAAAGCCAACATCGCTACCAGCATCACTAACTTCATCCTCGGCCCTGCTGAGAGGCTCCTGCATGGTGCGGAAGGGCTCCCACAAACCCGCCGGCTGCCAGGAGGGCGGAGGAGGAGGAGGATGGGGAGGAGAAGGAGGAGAAGGATGAGGATGAGGAAGAGGAGGAGAAATACATTATCCAAGCGAAGAGATCAACCGCATGCAATTGTGAATCAATACCGCGTTGTTGTTCTGCTTTCGATTGAGTTTCCTCTGGGGCCACGAAACGTGTGAGGGGTGTGCCGAACCCTGCCGCTGGGGCCATCGATGGAGCTCTCTGTGGGGCCGTGGAACCTCTGAGGGATGTGCCGAAGTGGGGGGTGGGCCGCATGCGAACCCTGCCACTGCGGGCTGCGGTGGAGCTCCCAATTAGGCCACGGAAAATGTGACGGGTGTCCCGAAATGGACGCGGAACCGCTTGCGAACCCTGCCGCGGGGGCCTTCGGTGGAGTTCCCTGTGCGGAACCACATGCGAACCCTGCCGCTGGGGCCTTCGGTGGAGCTCCCTGTGGGGCCACGAGACATATGAGGGGTGTACATGGAACCGCATGCGAACCCCGCTACCAGGGCCTTCGGTGTAGTACCCTATGGAACCAAGAAACGCATGAGGGGTGTGCCGAACTGCGGGTGAAACCGCATGCGAACCCTGCCACTGCGGCCTGAGGTGGAACTCTCCATGGGGCCACGGCACGTTGGTGGTGCGCCGAGATGGGGGTGGAACCGCACGCGAACCCTGCCACTGCGCCACTACGGCCTTCGGTGGAGCACCCTATGGGCCATTCATGGGGCCAGCGAGCGTGGGAGGGGTGCGCCGACATGGACATGCGGAGGGCAGGGGAAAGGAGGGGGAGGAGGAGGAGGAGGAGGAGGAGGAGGAGGAGGAGGAGGAGGAGGAGGAGGAGGAGGAGGAGGAGGAGGAGGAGGCGGAGGAGGAGGAGGAGGAGGAGGAGGAGGAGGAGGAGGAGGAGGAGGAGGAAGGGGAGAGGACGGACGGAGTGAGTGATGCGGACCCAACACCACAGGATGGCTAGGAAAAAAAAAGGTTGACGACGACGACGACGGCGGCCTTTGCGCCCGCCCTCTGCCGCGCCGGCGGCCGCCAGCAGCCCCCGCAGCTTCGACTCCTAGAGGGGGTCGTCGTTGTCGTCGTCGTCGTCGTCGTAGTCGTCGTCGTCGTCGTCGTCGTCGTCGTCGTCGTCGGCCGCCGCCGCCGCCGCCGCCGCCGCCGCCGCCGCCGCCGCCGCCGCCGCCGCCGCCGCCGCCCCCCCCTGCCCCCGCCCGCTGCCGCCGCCGCCGATTCGTCGAGCCACCAGGCCCGCCC